CAGCAGATCACTGGCAAGATTCTGCTCGCTGCAGACAGCAGTTTCCTTTTAAAAAACTGCGGAGATGGTCTTATCTTATCGGGTTCAAGTGCCGGATAGATGCGAGACTCTGTCGGTGTGTGATACACAGAGATCTGCTGTTGATGGATTCTGATGAATTCTATCATGCTGTAAGTCCACGTGTCTGTGTTGCTCAGCTCAGAGGATGCGGTATTAAATGCGTCCCTGGGGACCTCAGGGTTTATTACAGTCCCATGCAGTTATATTTGTGCTCGGGTCATGCTAAAATACAGAAAATCTTGAGACAGACTGCAAAGCATCACACCGGTAAAGCCTGACAATGGACTGGTTTATTGATCCTTAGACAAATTTTTTTTTTTTTTTTTTTTGATTACCCTATATGATACATCAGGCATTTACAGGAAAATACGGCGCTCATACTTAAGGAGAAGCAAACTCTTCAGTTTTTTTTAATGGCCCAAACTGAGCAAAAATATATAGTTTGGTGCAGTTGCTGTATTAGTTGCTGATTAATAATTTGTTATGCAAGTACATTAAACTTTTGAGCCCCTTCCCCATAAATAAAATAAAATAAAATAAATATTTTTTCTTTAGGGTTTGTATTTTTTTCTGATGAATAACAAAAAATAAAACTGAATAAACTTTTTGTGAGTAGGCCTATTTTGTTCTGTTATTCTCTATTTATTATGGGGGGGGATATAAAAATATGAAATATCACTTATATGAGTTCACAATAAATATCATACCGTTTATTCATGTTCCTCCAAACAAGTGTGACTGTTTCATTTATATACTTAATCACAAAAAGTGTGTACATAAGAAAGTTGTGAATGTTGCAGTGAGCTCAGTGAGCACACACCACACCAAATAAGGAAAAAAGGCGGAGAATAAACAACCGCGAACAAACCTCATTGGTTCTCACAGCTGTTGTTGATGCAGTAGTGAACTTGAATAAAAAAGTACACAATGATAGTGTCCTAACCATTCTATGAGAAAAGAATGATCATAAAATAACAAAATAAGAGCTCTGTGATCTGTTGTAGCAGTAGTGATAGTAGTGCACTTTAAAAACTGATTCCAAAGTTATAAATAAAACAGATTATTGGAGTACATTTTACAAGAGAATACTATTTAAGTCTTTATTCTCCAAAATTTCATGTTTAATGTGTATCTTTGTAATTATTTGTGAAATTTTCTTGCAATTTCTGATTGAAAATCGCTTCAAAGGAAATCCTACACCTCATATTTTTCCAGCTACGGTGGTGAACATGTAATTAAGAAGTTGTTGTATTATTCTGAAGTGGCTCACAGGATGAAAGAAAGCATTCAGATCAGTGACGCTACTATTAATGCATCAGGGAACTGCATGCGGGTGTGTGGATGTGGGGCGCAGGGCTTGATATTTACACATCGGCTATGCCTTTTCCTCTGACGGCTCCCAGATGGCCACTGCCGCAAACGCTGCCCAACATGGATCTTTACAGAGACGTCTACCAGCCACTGTGGGCAGAAAGCAAATACTATGAGCTTTTACCGGCGCACCATTATTAAAAACAATATCCTCTGCAGATCGTTGTATAATAATCAAAATACCAAGAAGGGCAAAGGTATGGCTCACTCGATATGAGAAAAACAAAAACAGAGTATGTTTCGTTAAATGTCAAAAAGATGGTTTCATCTCGATGGAGGTGGGTATATAAAAGCAGTTTGTTTTGTGGATAGATGTCACTTCTGATGTGGTTTAACACGTCTTGCTTTAGTTCTAGGCTTTCACAGATGAGTCTGGTTTCTCTACATTTATACCAGCAAATGAGTGTTTACCTCAGAAGCCGAGAGAGGGGATAAAGGGGCTCGGTCATGACTTTTCTGTAAATCAATCCTCATCTGCAGCTTTCTTCTGCAGGTGGGTCGGGCAGACTCACATTGCTTTGAGGCAATAGATTGAGTCTCAGCAGACACCTCGAGCGCCTCATCACCAGCCGAATGACCCCATCGTCTTCATCAGAACGTGTTCTCCTCATAAGCTCAAACAGATGGGGACTGCCACTGTTTTAATCTCTGTTTTACACGTACACTCTTCTAGATGATTATAAAAGTTGACAGCAACTTAGTTCTCTTTCTCGTCGCATACATGAATGCATAAGTCTGACAACCTTGAGGACTGACACATATTTTTTTGAGCTAACTGAAATACAAAGGTCTCAAGAAACTTTGCATTGTGCATTAAAGATTTATTCTGTTGATGCACTACCTAAAACTAGAAACTCAGATTTAATTCAACACATTTAACTGTTAATTGAAATAAGATGAAATAAAATAAAATACAAATTTTAGATAAAAAAAACACAAAATGAAAACTTGATGCAGCAACTAACTTAAAATAAATACATACATACATGCATGCATAAAACTGAAATAAAAAATGTATTCCTAACATTAATGTTTAGAAATAAATAATAACATGATAAATTACTAAAATATGTAAAATTATAATGAAAACCAAATTCAATGCTAATTCAGCATATTAAACTAGGATGGTTTATAAACAATACACTAAAACTAGAAACTCCAAGTTATCGTTTAATAAAACTAAAACTATTAAAAAAAAATTTTGCTGAATGAATAAAATAAAACATGTATATTAGATAAAACCAAAATTTGATGTTGCCGTTGCAACTAATTGAAAAAATTTAAGTTTTAAAAAAAATTTAAACAAATAAAATTAAGACTGAATTAAAATAAATTAAACCTAAATAGTAAGATTTAAAAACAAATCAAGAAATATTTCACAAAACTGAAAATATTTGGAAACTGAAAATTAAAGCTACTTCGAAATACTAATAAAAAACTATTATAATAGTATATAAATAATACTAAAGTAACACTGCTCCCACGTGGAGGTTCAGTGTAAGAATTAAAGTGGAAAGTAAGTCATAAAATATTGATTTTAATTCTTTAGGCAAATAATGTATTGTTATAGTTCTATGTACATCAGTGGAAATATATAGTGAATATTTAAGAGTGGGTTTAACAAACCATTGGACACTTTTGATTATATGTGACCCTGGACCACAAAACCAGTCATAAGTCGCTGGGGTATATTTGTAGCAATAGCCAAAAATACATCGTATGGGTCAAAATTATCGATTTTTCTTTTATGCCAAAAATCATTAGGATATTAAGTAAAGATCATGTTCCATGAAGATATTTTGTAAATTTCCTACCATAAATATATCAAAACTTAATTTTTGATTAGTAATATGCATTGCTAAGAACTTCATTTACAACAACAAATTTAAAGGTGATTTTCTCAGTATTTTGATTTTTTTGCACCCTCAGATTCCAGATTTTCAAATAGTTGTATCTCTGGCAAATATTGTCCTATCCTAACAAACCATACATCAATGAAAGGCTTATTTATTCAGCTTTCAGATTATGTATAAATCTCAATTTTGAGAAATTGACCCTTATGACTGGTTTTGTGGTCAAGGGTCACATATTATTAAAAGCAAACAGTTCATATTATTTCCCCAGTTCCTTTTAGTTTTGGCTTAATTGGCCCTTTGGCTCTATTTTCATTATTTGATTAGCCAGATTAACCAGCCCTGACACCAACCATTTGTACGGCATCTCACTCCAAGTTTTTCTACACAAAAGACTGCGAAAAAATGTGCAAAAAGAAGCAATATACATTTTATTGTAACTTTCTGTACATATATACAGTTGAAGTGCGATACAGCAGCTAGGTGGCGCTGCAGGACACTCGGATTGCACTGCTACAGGTTAGGCCACTGCGGCCAGGCTTGTCTTTGGCTTGAGTGGACAACAGATCATTACCCATGAGCCCTCAGAGTACCGGCTTTCTGTTACTCAAGGTTGCTTACATACAGTAAATATGGCTTTTTGCTCATTTAATAGCCCCAGAAATTGTCGCAAAATGCCACAAATGCAATTATTACACAAAAAAATATTACTAAAAAGACAGTACGGTTTAAGCATGAGACATTTAGAGACTCTCAACACTGCAAATATTTGTTGACTTAATTGTATGCCCACAGGACACCCTCAGCATTACATACAAAAGTTGAATAGACATCTCGATAAAGAGTGGAGAATATGATTATGAAGGTATGAGTGGAGAAAACATCGTGAGAGAGGAAATAGAGGCAGAAATCCCTTTCCTTCGAGGTTAGAGATCGCTGGGTGATTAGTGGCCCACAACTCTGTGTTGAAACAGACTCTGCCGTATATAAATATATAACGATGTGTGGAAGCCTGTTAAATCCGTCCTGTCAGGGTTCATCTCTGGGGAGAGAGGAGTGGGAACAGATTACCGGTGAGAAAGCTTAGAAAACCAATTCTACTGCTCGCAGTTAGAGTGTAGGGAACCGTGCACCCAGGAGAAGACCATAATCTGCCTCGGGCACGGATTTCGCCCCAGATTTCGGTGCCAGACCAAAAATCCTCTTTCAGTCGATGCCCGAAAGAAAAAAAATGGCAATGCTAAAACCGACCTTTAACCTTTAGAAATAAAGGGAGGGAGAGGTAGAGGCGATTTCTGACTGTGCCGTAAACAGCTGGTAAATGTGATTTTCCTAATGAGAAATTAATCTACTCGAATCCTCTGTGACATAACAGCGCTTCCTCTCAGAGAGGAAATACTGAATCTTTAAATATCACTGGGCCTTATGCTGCCTTTAAATCATGTCAGGATGATTGTATTTATGAGTTGAGCGTACATCAAAGTTATTAGGTGGGAAACTTTGAGCACAGAATTGCTGAATGTTAATAATGGATCATGGTGAAAGCTACTGTAGTATTGTATTGAGCATGTTGAATGTTGACTATGATTTTGTATGCAATTTAAGCTAAAACTAAATCATGAAATAAACAAAAAAAAAAATTTCAGGTTTGCAAAAAACATTTTTATATACACATATATATATATATATATATTATTATAATTTTTTTTTTTTTTTTTTTCCAAACGTTTCCCAAAAAATTCTACTCTTTTAGCAGTCGTTGTTGGGAGGTGTGAAAGTTCATAAATACAAATGTTCCTGGATTTGAAGGCAGCATTATGATGACTGGGAAAATGCAATGATGATAAAAAAGGAACTATAAGCTCATAAGATGAAGATGAGAATGAAGAGAGAGAAGCACCTGGTAATGCTGCTGCCACTTAGTGGTGTTACACTGTGCTACATTGAGACGGAGTTCACACAACGAGACTGATCAATACCTTATTCACATTATAAATTCATTATAACACAGATAAAGACCTATATATCAATAAATATTTACCTTTTTACTCTACATATAGTTTCTCATTTTACAGGAATGAAAAAAAAAATCTTGCTCATGTGACAACTCCTGAAGATTTTTTTCAATACATTATATAGCTCTTTGGGAAGACGAAAAAGTAAAACAATATAAAGATCCGCCTTTATGTTAAATCAAAGCATAACGTGAAGAAAGAACAGCCAGATACAAATGGAGACGCTTTACATTGGACTGCTTTATAGGCACATAGGAGTGTATTTCTGTTCTCTACTGGCTTGAAGCTTTTCAGTCATTTGTCCGTATTCCTTTTGAATGTCTTTTCCTGTCAAAGTCTCTTCTTAGATCACAAATAAATAAATATTCCTTTGTGAGTGCACTTTAATCTAACCATTTGAGACAAACCAGCGCTTTGACTGTTTCCTGATGTGACCTTTCTCCGATTATAGAGTCTGTCATCTCAACTCAGTCTAAACACGCTGAAAACTTCATTTCATCACAGTTTAGAGCCAGTTCAGATTGCACGCAGATCTACATGTAGCTGCAGACAGGCCTAGTGCGTTACAGCACTGGAACATCTTGTAAGAATGAGTCCCAAAGGGAAATGAAGCAGGACGTGAAAACAGCCAATATCCCATCCAACAGCACAGAACAATGTCCTATTTTGATGCAATGAAGAAATGACTTACAAACTCGTGGCCAAAGATTTTGTCAGTGACTCTAGTGGTGAGCTAATCGAGATATATATATATATTTTGTTTTTTTATGAAATATTATATTTGCACAGTATTGGTCACCCTGCAATTTAGATATCGGACACGGACCCATATCGGTCGGTCGACCACTAGAGACATTCAAGGCTTCTGATCCACTGGTGGATTTCAAACAGAATTATCTAGCTCATTGTTTTGCAATGTGTCAATTCTTCTTGCAAATGTGTGTAAATCCCCCTCATTAGTTGATTGAGAAGGCACTGTCTGCGCTATCTAGCAGAATCCCTTCTGGATGGGGTGACACAATGCTTTCGGGGCCGTGGGCCCCTGCTGAAAAAGCTGTTTACAGGCCTGTCACCGCGATCCCTTTTGTTTCCTGTCAACGTCTCGCTGCGCATCTTCCCGACGATGCGGTAGCGTGCAAATCAGATAAACAGGGCGTGACAAGCCCACAATGTATCTCTGGAGATAAGCGCGCGATGCACAAAACAACCGGTCCTTCCTTTAAAGTGGAAATCTGAAAATAAGAGAGATTTCGTCGGATAGAAACCGGGAAGAGACAGCAATCAATTACCGCAGCCTACATGGCAGGGAGCTATGATCTTAATCGGAGAAGAATAGCTGGGTGGGATTGTGGGCCGTGTGTGAGAACACCTCCGGGGCAGCGCAGACACGGGGAGGGGCGTCATCAATAATAGTGCAGGTAAGCAGGACTCAGGCAAGGTCAGGACAAACATGTTTCCCCATGAGCAGACAAACTGCCACACGCATACAGAAATAGCTCACGGCGTAACCTCAGTCCGATTCTGGCATTCCGTCTCAGGCCCAGATTCACCCGCGACGCTCCATCCAGGCACCCGGAAGGGTCTTTTAAGATGCGGTCTGGGGTTGTGTTTGATAATCTGCTCCCTGAAAGACAGTCCTTCATCTATCAAACCCCATGCACGTCCTCCAGGATAGACAAACAAGACACAGAGAGAGCGGCCAATCTCTTGCCCTTTTTCTGACTCAGTCAGTCTGATTTTTTCCCTCCGTTTCCTTTCTCTTGTGCGTGTTCGCTGAGCCGTTCACTCCTCGCCTTCTTCTACGTACGTGGAGGGGAACCAGCCCACCTGTGGATGAGACAGAACAGAAGGAATGAGTGATTAGAGGAGAAGGTTGCGGGGGGTATTACAGAGGATTTGCATCACTTCATTGCCTGGATAACCTTGAGGATGCGCCTGCTGCAAGAGGAGGGGAGGAGGGTCGGCGCTGGATTGTTTAAGCGCTTCCAGTGGCTGCACATGGGCCTGAGCAATAATATCCAGCAGGACAATATGACAGAGCTGTTTTTCTTTGATTGGCCAAATCAGGGAGGGAGAGAGAGGAAGATGGAGCGAAAGAAACTGTTGTTGATTCTTGTCCTGTTCCTGCTATGGTCTACTATGACTATTTCAGCCTAAATAGGTGTCAAGCTAAATTTCTCACTTAAATAAAAATGCAAAACTATATATATATACGTTTAATAAATTAAATAAATAAATAAATAAATGTATGCATTTAGCAGACGCTTTTATCCAAAGCGACTTACAGTGCATTCAG